GCAAACCTAGCCTGGAAAAATTCATAGGAAACACTATTTACTTATGCACTTCCAGAACGTAGGAAAGCTTTTTGAAAGTATTCAGAGGAAAAAAGAGCAACTGCCTCAGAGTAAGTGCATCCTACTTAAAGCACAGAGACACAGTTTATAGCACTTAGGCAGTCTCCTCCAGAGCAGAAGGCAGGCTCAGAGCAAGACAAATGCTATGGACAGCAACCAGGCCACCAGTTTTAGCATAAAAATCTTTGCAAAACGTCAGTTCTGTAATTCAACTCTTCTACAAAAGAATCCACCCACGCTGGCTCCAGGCAGCGGCCCGTCCAGCCCAGTGAAGGTGCACAGAAGTCACAGCCACGCACCATCAACCACCATCGTCCGCAGACGAACGCTGGGACAGCGGCTGCTTAAAACATACCAAAGGCCAAAAAAGCCAAATTCAGGTGAAACAGCAAGAAACACCCACCCAGGCCTCTGGCATTTCCCTCTTACTGCAGTTATCGCTCTGAAAACACACCAAAGCACAGCTTCTCCAAAAACTCTGCCTTTAACCCTTAAGCAAACCTGACATGTAATTAAACAGCTTCTGCCAATGCCTCCAGCCACCTTCTCGGATGCTGCAGCAGAACTTTCACAGTTTTCTTTCGCAGGGAGCGTGCACACAACAGGCTCCCGTGACTCCATCAAGCATCATTTCTTATGTGGAATCAGAGCACCGCCGCAGAACACTAATTACAAGTTTCCAACTCATTCAAAATAGCAACACGTCAGTTTGAATCATTTAACTCGCGTTTTCTTCTTTCCCACTTACACCAGGAGGAGGCACTACGGTTATTTCGGGCCTAACTTTTCCTTTTCCCCAAGAACCCCTTACAGACAATAACGGTACCCAGCGTTTTAACCTGCCAACCTGGGAAGGCTTCTAGCCATTCTAATCAACATGACTTTCAAGCTATGCCTTAAGTTTCGATGTCTCTTTTCAGGCCAAGATGATGAAAAAACCCTCCTTTAAATCCCAGTGACTATGCAAACTGCACAGCTACGCCTTTAGGGAGCAGCCGTGCTCCAACGGCGCACGCCTGCCCTCTCGATCCACATGGGATATTAATGCAACACATCCCAAGGCAACAGCCACCCTGAGGTGGCTTTTTCCCCACTTTCTCAGCTTGAAGAACCACATACTTATTTCAGGGTGAAACAGAGCTTTGGGGACTAATCCTGTCTGAAAATAAACAGTGAGTAATGTGTCCAATCTTCTGCGCAGATCCGAGACGCAGCTCCCACATGGCCCCGACGGGACGGTCTTCCAGGGGTAGTACAGCCCCCGAGTCACCCGTGGTGCCCACCTCACAGTCACACACATCCCTCACCTCTGGGCAGCCAGACAGCACCCACTCTCCCCTCTCCCCCTCCGCAAACAAGAGGCACTGATTCTATTAGAGATCAGTTCGCAAGAAAAGAAAAGCATTTAAAGACTGTTCCCACCTTTGGGGACTGACTAAAGGAAAACTCACACTCCCCACAGCCTAAAAACCACAGTTCTTCCTCTGCTCAGGATACATGACATGAGCCTAAACAAACCATCCTGAATACAGAAACTCTGTTCAATTCACTGCTTAAGCTTTGGTTTAAAGCACCACTTCCCCCCGTACCTTCACGTTCACCTCGAGCAGCTTTTCGTTCATTGTGCTGATGACATTCAGGTTTTTACTGTGAGACTTGTTTGCTGTGGCGTTCATTGGCTTCACAGGATGGGGTCTGTAACAGTAAAACGGGCTGATGTTATTTAGGCAGCACGTGTAACACCAGCACTACACAGATCTTCAGACTAAAAGTAAATACAGACAGAAATCGGGGCAAATTCCTACCCTTCTCTATCTCCAGAGAGATATGAGATAGAGCTTTGGGAAGAGAAGGCATTTCTGTCTCAGCTACAAGCTTTTAATAAGTACATCCCAGTTCTCTTTCTGCTCCCTTTACTGACTGAAGCCATTGCAGATAGAGTCACCAGGGAGATACACCCTGAATGTCACAAACGCAAAGCCAGGTTGCTCCACACGAGAGGGCAGTACACAGCAGCAGCTGCCCTGATTTCTCAAGCACTAGTGTTTGAGCCTGACTTTCCAAAGGAGAACACATCTGTGGTTCTTGCGACGCACCAAATACTTCTACTATCCTGGGACGAGCACGTATGACACCTTTTCCAAGGTGAACTTTGGCCACAAGCTGCAAGAAGCGCTATATTTATTTGCTCCAGCAGGATTTACGCTGCCAATTTTAATACAGGAAGAAAATGTTACTTGTTTCTCAGCAAAAGCCAGCCCAGAAGGGTCCTGGACCCTAGACGGAGTTCTGCAGATAAAGTATCAAGGGCTGACCAGTCAGCGGCACTGCTCCTCGGACAACAGCGGCCCAGCACGCAGGAGGAGCTGCAGGCAGCTCTGGAAAGCAGCCGGAGCGTTTTTGGGAAAGGCTTAGCTGCATGTTTGCTGTGATTCACTGCGAGGCTCACGAGCCCTGTTTGTTCAGGAAAGGAAGCACCCCAGTTTATCAGGCGTCCTCTGACCATTCTCCCATTTCTGAAAAACGGATGGATTGCAGTCCATTTCCCCAACTGGATGAAATGTCCCTATTTCTTAAACTGTGACCAAGTCTTCCTAACATTTTTCCTTAAGAGGTAGCACCGAGATGAATGGCAGGTCCCCTCGAGTGCTCTGGGAGTCCTCGACAGCCACACAGATGTATCTGGTGCCAGCACTGGTCCCACACTGGTGGGACAGCACCCAGAGGAAGTTAAGGCTGTACGATGCCATGTCCCTGCAAAGCGCTGTGGATTCCTGCAGCTGGAGGGACAGATCTGTGCTCACGGGAAGAAAAAGCAACGCTCACACCAGCACGGAGACACTTTCTGTGCGTTTCCCCACGTTCTCTCACCTGTGCTTAGGAGACACGGTCTCACCACCCTGCTCAGTTTGGTTAGGGTATGGTTCAGAGGGTGAAACCCGTGCCTGAAGAAGCTTCTTCTTGCCAGAATTTCCTGCTTTATCTGCGAAGCCCTTGGCTGTTGGCTTTTTCGGAGACTCTGCTCTACGACTTGGGGTGTCAGAGAGAAGGGAATGAGAGGAAGAGAAGGGCTGGGAAGGACTTGACAGGGAGGAAGAGGAAACAGAAGGCTCAAAGAAGTCGCACTCTGCACGCTCCTCAACACCTGCACTCATTTTCAGTTCTTGTTTCTCAAAATGACCATTACGCTCCCCGGAACGAGACGTCCTGCCTAAGCCTGAGTCAGCTCCCTGCTCACTGACCCCGGGAACACCCGCTCCGGCAGGCAGCACGGGTGGTTCGCTCGCCTTACGAGCGCCAGGAACGCTTCCTCCTCCTGGAGCCGCCGGGGTGACCCGGGCTGCAGCGGAGCCATCGGAGCGCTCTCCCAGTTCTTCATGCAAAGGCACTGAACCTAGGGACGGCTTTCCTGTCTCTGAAACGTTTCTATCACCTGCGGCCACACCACGGTTCTCCTGACAGTCACCCAGCAGCTCGTCGTCGGAGCCTCCCTCCGGAATAGCTGGAAGACCGGCCAGTTTCGAACCACGGTCTCCAGTAATGGGAATGGCAGACTTCAGATTTGTCAGACGGTCAAATAAATCGTCATCACCTTCATTTTTTAAATGCCTGTTGCTGCCGTCATCTCTGAGCATCACTGGTGGAGCGATAGTCTCTAATGAGCCACTTTGGTGGAGGCACCCACGGGCATCCAAGGCTTTATCAGGATGTAAGGGGAGCCCAGGCACAGATCTGACACCATCACCTGAAGAAGGCACGTCACCATTTAACTCCTCAGCCTGACAAACTGGTGGGCACTTTGGCATTAAAGATAACCGTGGTGCTGGCTTTGGAGCGACCAACACCGCGCTGCCAGCCCTCCCTGCCCCGGCTTCCCAAGGGGACAGTGTGCCAGCTCCCGAGGTTGGGTTGGCAGATCCTACTCGAGAAAAGGAGTCACTTCTATCAAGCGGAGTTGCTCGGGGCTCTAACGTGGGTGCATGTTCTTCCCGTGTCCATTCACCAACGACCTCCTGCTTCTCGCTCCGCTCCCTCTCAGGGCGAGGTGGCTGTTCAGCACCCAGCTCTGGCAAGAGGCTTTCACTACGCTTCGAGAGAGATGCAAAGTGTCTGCTGTCCTTCGTGGAGGGGTCAGTATTCACCCCACCTACTCCCCCACCGCCCTGGGCGGCGCTCTCGCCGTTTCGGATGGGACCTGTGCTGTCACTAGAGAGTTCTGGTGACAAGTGGGACCCCGGTTCCAGCTGATGAGCAAACCCTGCTCGCTCTCCTGTTGCACCTGAGCCCGTCGACAGCATTTCACTGAAATCAGAGCGCTGCTTTTCACGTTCCTGCCCACCCAAATCCTCATCACCCGACCCTTCACGGAGAAAGGACACAGATTTCCTGTTGCCTGGCTTACTTATTTTCAAAGAAGTCTCAACCTGAAGCTGGGGAGAACCGCACTGCTTCTTTGGAGCCAGAGCAGGGTTGTCAGAAAGGGTGCTGGGAGGGCTGGGTACAGCGCTGACATTACTAGTTAAAGCCACATCTGTAGCACTCCCTGAAGGACCAGCTCGTTTCAGCTCAGCGGGGGGTTCTGCTGAGGAACAGCCTTCATCACCAGGCAGGCAGCAAGGGGAAGAACTCGCAACACCTTTGAGACCTGCTGCATCTGCTTCCCACCCAAGCTTGGATACGAAGGGATTGTTGTCATTAAAACGACAATCAGAGGGGAGAGAAGCTGCGGGTGGGTGAGCCAGACCCCCGAAAGCCCGTGTATCAGAGCGTGCAGGACCACGGCCCCGTGAGCTCTGCCCCCATCCAGAAGCAAAAGGATTATTGCCACTACCAGAGCCCTGCCCAGGAAGAGGTGCTTCGGGAATGGAAGCTGCAAGATGATGGGACAAAGGGAAACGGGTAATGCTATCGGGATCCAGGGCTGTAGATGCCCTGCCCCACTCAGCAGTAAAGGGGTTCTTGCCACTCAAAAGCTCTGCAGCAAAAGGAGGAGGAGAAATAACAGATGCGGAACTAGTAATGTTTTCAGAGTCTGGCACTTGGACTTTTTGTCCTGTTTTAGAAATAAAAGGATTATTGTCACTACTGATACAGTGTACAGAAAGAAAAGCAGGGAGGGAATGAGGTGCAAGAGTAGGAAGCGTGGCTTTGGTTTCCTCCTCTGACGACACGCCCAGTCTGCAAAAAGGGACAAAAAACTCGCATGACACTTGCAGATGCAACACGAGGCAGGAACAGACAAGCTTTAGCACCAGACTCCATCAACTCCTAACACTGGAGGTGAGCTATGCTTGCAAGGGACCTCACAGACTATCTGATGGACAGTGCACACTTAAACGTGCCTTCACGAAGCGCTCGACCTGTGTCAGAACACTTCTGCTGCAGAGTTTGCACAGGTTACTGCGGTGGCTGCTTTGAAGCACCATCTCATCTTGTGCACGCCAAGCAATGCTGTTAGTATGCAAGACAATCCATATGCCAGACGTCTAAACACGAGAAGCACTGGAAATAAGGAGTTAGAGACAGACACAAAACAGAGCCTTATTAGTAGGACACACCCATATATATATATAAAACACACACACAGGGTTTTTATATATATGAAGGATAAAGGAGCAGAATTTCCGAAAAAGCCTTGTGTACAAATTCACACAGATGTCCTTCGTGTTGCTGTGAACGATGCCAAAAGTAGAAGGGCTCCCAGATTAACACTCTTGAAGACCACAACCGAATACAGAAGAGAAAAGTAGAGATGTTAGAACTGGTATTTCAGCCCCTGGGTATGTCCAAGTCGCACAGCTGAGAAGTTAGTTTTTGCAAGAGATCCAGCAAGAAATACCACCCCTACGGTACCTGAAAAGGTCCTTGCACCCACAGAACCACTACTTTGGCATCACTTAGGAGGAGCACCCCTATATCAATCTCTTGTTTCACACTGAGAAAGAACCCACGAGTTATTTGTTATTCAGCCACCCGGCACCCTGCGGAGCAGCACGGTCCTGCCGCAGGCAGGATGCCCAGCTGCGACTGCGCCAGAAAGCAGATGGCCACAGCCTGCATCCCCCCCGCCGCACATCGCCACCTGTGCCAGCCTCCCAAGCGAGCACGACTGACCTGGGCTTGACAGCTTTGGTCTTCGCCGGCGCAGTAGGCTTTTCGGGTTTCCGTTCTTCCTCGAAAGGGTTGGGCAGCTGCTTATTGGCAGGGACGTCTTCTGCGCGGTGAGCGTCTTCCGAAGGATCCCCTCTGCTTAAATCTGCTGGAAGTTCAAGATGTTTGGCCTCTGGTTCGTTCTTCTCTTCTGGAACTTTGTTTTCCTCACCCTGCAGGGTCCTGTCGGGAACATTCTCAGCATCATTGGTCTTCACTGCTTCCTTCTTCCCTGTGACCAGAGAGAGCAAGGCAGACTTTTTGTGCTCCGTTTTTCTGGTCTCCTTAATAACCTCGACACTCGGAGGAACGATGGTTTCCAGGTATTCTTCACTGCTAAGCAATTTGTATGATGGCAAAGTCATGGATTTAAAGGTCTCCAAGGATGCAGACCCAGAGAAAGCATGACTAGGAGATGTCCTTCCTGTCTCTTCAGGTCCTTTAGTAGATCTGGAAGACAGGTTCTCTTCTGAAGCAAAGAGCTGCTTCCTCCTGAAGTTGTGAGGAGAGGGTGAAGAGGCTGGAGTGTTGTCCTTTGTTGTGCTCTCTTCCATGTAAACGTGACTGCCATTGATACACAGGCTAGACTTGGAAATGGGATCGCTTTTGGATTTAAGGCCACTAAATAAAGAGAGCCCTTCTTTCTTGGTGTGGCTAGTGGTTATTTGGTTTAGTTGCCTGCTGTCCAAAGCTGCTGTTTTACGAGATTTAAACAGAGAAGGAGAGGACTTCTCTTCCAGGGCATTTCCAAAGGTTTCTGGAAAAAATAAACGGGGAGAAATTCAAGATGCAAGAACATCCTTTCCTCCAACACTTGCTACTGACCACCTCAGTGCTTCACAGTCATTACTGGATCGCAGCAGCAGAAACATTGCAAGCGTGACCATTCCAGCCACTTCCAAATCTCCCGGGTCCCCTCCCACCACCGGAGCGCACATGCCGTTCAGCGACCTCAAACCACCACAGGTCACTTAGTGTGACACTGTGCCACCCACACGTGCAGACACTGCTCGTGCAGCTCCACAGCTTCTATGTTACCCCAAGGTAAGCTTAGCCGTGAGCATCTAACATCCTCCGTGCACACCCACCACCGTGGAGAGAAGTGACTGCCTGTGGATTCATTCAGTAAGAAGAATTTAACCAGTACCCTAAAAAGTCTGAAAAGCACATGCAAACTTCCAGAGAAAGGCTTTGTGCTTCACCAGGGCAGTGAGTGCCCATACTCACTTTCCGAGGTTGGAGAGGTCTCTGACTCCTCGTCATCCCATTGCACCTGGAAGTCACTGGGCCGAAGTCGAATCCGAACCTTCTCGGTGACGGGCTGCTGTGTCGTCGGTAGGACTGACATGGACTGGGAGAGGGAAGTCTTCTGCAGGCCAGGTTTGGAAAACAGGGTTTTGAACTTTGATTTCTTCTTCTCCTTCTCGACTGCCTCATCTTCGCTGTCAGTGGGGGAGTGAGTTGTGCTGGGAATGATCTCCGATGCCGTGTCGGAAAAGCCACTGCTCCTCTTTCCATTGTCTTTGAGCTTGCCAAAGGGAGACCGAGACTTGTCTTTCATGGACAGATCAAACATACTGGCTGTCATGTTGCTCCTCATAAACTGGATATCCACTTCGATCTCCCCTCTCTCCTTTTCTTTCTTCCCTGGTTTGGAGCGAAGCTTGTACCATCTGCAGAAATAAGGAGATTTCTTTTACGAACAAGTTCTCCAGAGGCATGGGTAATTTAGAACAACAAAATAAGCCTACAGTGAAAAAAAAAAAAAAAGAAAAGAAAAGCCTTTAATCTTAGAACTATGTCATAATCATATGGCTCCAGGTGCCAAGGAAAACATTTCTTATTGTAAATAGAAAGTTATTAGTAAAATTTGCTTTAAAACCCAGACCAGGAAGAGTTAAAAAAAAAAAAATAAATAAACACAACATGGAATTCCTGCATTTCAGCTCAGTCACTCTCTTCTGTGCTTTCATCTGGCTTCCCTGAAACAAATCTGCAGAGGCTGGGACTTTGAAGTGGGTGCGAAAGAGGCAGCCTCAGAGCGCTGGAACTGGTACCAGAAAGCTTTGGCACACGCCCCACGCCCTCATACCTCTCATTCCAGCTTTTCATTGCTATCTTAACGCCTCTCAAGCCAAGGAACCCCTAATCAGCACAAGGAGCCAACGGCGCCTTGCAGACCTCTGGGGATTTCCACTCCCCTCCAGGATCCCGTGACCGGAGCGCACCAGGAAGGACGTTCCTTACAGACAGAACCTTATCCCTTTCCCCAAACGCAGCTCTGGAATATTAAGCACGCGCTCGGGGTGTCCTGAACTGCACCA